CTCAGGACTTGGCACTTTCCAGGCAGTTGCTTGTGCTGCTGATCTATTTCCTCGGTCCCTAAAACTCAACTGTAGAAGATTGGGATGGGGGATTTACTGCTAGATATTAGTTCACGTGAAAAAAGCCTGAAGGTGTGAATTATGCAAAATCACTTTCACTGTTTTTACCAACTATAAACCAAGTACTATTACAAGGAATATAGAGATAATAACTAATGTTAGTTTCAAGGAGCCCATAGATTGTGAAAGGAGACAAATAAAAGTAAAAATTCTGGTATAATGATTTTAATGTTGTCAGTTGTTGACTTACTAGATTGATTTGTGTATGTCGATCAGAAAAGACAACCTGGCTAGAGCATACGTGGATGGCTCCAAATGATAATTTGGGCAAAGATTAGGTCTTGCAGGGTCTTACAGAGCATGATAAAAACTTTGGGTTTTATTTTGAGTGTTTGGGGAAATCATTCCAGAGTTTTAAGCAGAGAAATGACATGATTTGGTTTTTGTTTGACTAATAAATACAGAAATGTGTGTATGGTTACGGTTTTCCAGAAGAGAGAGAGTAAAATCCTACCCAGGGAAGGATCCGTAAGAGAATAGTATCAGGGGCTGGGGATTTAGCTCAGTGGCATAAGCACCTGCCTTGCAAGCAGGCGGTTGTGAGTTTGATCCCCAGTACCGATAAAAAAATAAAATACATTTTTAATAAAAAAAAGAGTAATATCATGTCAGACCCTTGGATGACAAGACATTCATTATGCAAGAAAAGTCATAGGGGTGTGTGTGTGTGCATTGGTATGTTTGGTGAACCAGAAATAACTTCAAATGTCTAGTAAGTAGGGCCGGTGGACAAACGGCAAGAGATGAAGCAGGTTGTGCTGGGAATGCAGGGTTACCTTATTACAAAATTCACGTTTGTATAGATATGCCCTCAGAGCTGTGCAGCAGGGTAACTTACTAGGGAGTCTGGTACTCAACCTGAGGGTTATGGGTTAGTTGTATAATGCTGTTTATTAAGATACAGACTTGGGGAAACTGACCAAGCAGGGATAACTAAGCGAGGTGGTATTAGGGAGGAAAAACCAGGGAAAGGTAAACTAACGCTTGATTACATAGGCATTGTTGAAGTAGAGGCTTTGGGTTTAAAATAAATACTCAAAGAAGAGTTGGCTATGAATTGGGGGAAGGGTGACTAGTGACCCCAGGGCCTTCAACACTGAGGTACATTTAGACCCTTCCCCTGCCTTTTGAGACAACCTAAATTGTCCAGTTGGTGTTGATCTTGTGATCTTGCCTTAACCTCTCATAGTGCTGGGATTACAAGAATGTGCCACCAGCTGGGGATTTAGCTCAGCGGCATAAGTGCCTGCCTTGCAAGCAAGGAGTCGTGAGTTTGATCCCTAGTACCGCTAAAAAGGAAAAATATACACACACACACAAAAAAAGAATGTGCCACCGTAAGTGGTTTGAAAGGTATAAAATGAACAGCATAAAATACTGAAATATTGTAGAGTATTAGAGAAGTATTTAGAGTATATAAAATTCACCTTTATTATGTTCCAAAGCATCTAAATATCATAATTTTGGTTGTTTTGCTGTGGATTGAACCTAGGGCCTTGTATATACTGAATTTATGCTCTACCATTGAGCTATAGGCTCAGTTATGTATCTCCATTTTCCAGTATCTATTTTGTATATATATGCATTCAAATCTGTTTATGCACATACAATTGAAGTTTTTTTTTTTTTTTCTTATCGATATCGGGGATCGAGCTCACGACTGCCTGCTTGCAAGGCAGGTGCTTATGCTGCTGAGCTGAATCCCCAGCCCCACAATTGAAGTTTAAAATAGTGTGATACTGTTTTAGTGTCATACTCTTCCTTTTTTTTTTTTTAGTCTTTTTCAGACAGGGACACACTATGCGGTTCAGGCTGGCCTTGGGATCGATTTGTAGCCCAGGCTGGTCTCGAACTTGCAATGATCCTCCTACCTCAGCCTCCTGAATGCTGGGATTCAAGAATGCACCACCATACTCCAGCTTGAAGAGAAGGGTCAGGAGGGCTGCACCTAGCAAGGCTCTAGGGTGGAACTGCCGAGTCCTTTGGAGCTCACATCTCACCACGCCTCTTCAGGAGCTAGACAAGGAGCTATGGGATTTTTTTATTTTTGTTTTGGTACTGGGGATCGAACTCATGACTTTGTGTTTACCAAGCAAGTGCTTGAACTGCTGAGCTAAATCTCCATCATGCTTCTTCCATTTTTTATAATTTAAGGTTTTTAGATCTAGCAATATAATGATTCTTTTGGTTGTGTGTGTGTGTGTGTGTGTGTGTGTGTTTTAGCTGCTCGGCATCCTGTTGAATAAATCTATAATTAGCTTGGTCGTCACTTAGTTGACATATTTGGTCTAAGGCTAAGAAGTGATTCACCTTAATAGACCTTTAAGCTGCCTCGGGTTTTTCGCTATTTTTAACAATGGTGACATGAACAGTCTTTTTCATTGTTTCTGAATTGTGCAAACACCATATCTGAGAACATACAAGGTAACAGGTGTGGAATTGAGATTATAATTTAGCAGAAGTTGTGGTCCTGTCCTATTCTGATTTGTCGAGGCAACTGCAAGAAAATAATTAGAAATCTTTAGTCCTGCCAAGCGTGGCAGTGCATGCCTATGATTCCAGTACTTGGGAGACTGAGGCTGGAGGATTGTTGGAGTTTGAGGCCAGTTTGGGTTACCTAATGAATTCAAAGCTAGTTAATCTATGTAATAAGACACTGTCTCAAAAACAAAAGATCCCAGTACTTGGGAGGCTGAGGCAGGAAGATGACAGCAAATTCAAGGCCAGCTGGAGCTACAGTTGTGAGTTCAAGACCAGGCAGAACTTGATAGCAAGACCCTGTCTATCAAACCAAACAATTTAAAAAGAGAGATAGTTTTTTCATCAAAGGATGCACTTACGCAGAGTTTAGGTGCAATGAAGAGGTAATATGTAAAGCAAGATGGGCATTAAAATCACCCTTTGCTTTGGGTAACATTCATTCCACTTAGATTATGAGGGACCAACGTGGGGTGATGGGCTGGGTAAGGGAGAGAATGATTGATGGGAAGTATAGGGGAAGATGAGTATAGAAGCATCCCAGGGAATACTGCTGAGAAAGAATGTTTAGTGAGGCCCAGTGGGAGATCTGACCATCCCTGTGTACTCTTGGTGCAGGTGGTCTTCAAGTATACGGGCAACGAGTGGGGGGAGCTAAAAAGCATGTGCTTAGGATGCATAACATCCTAGGTTCAGTGTTAAAGTGTCTGTAGTGGAAAGGTCTACATTGGAGCCAATGTGGTATTATAGGCAGGAAGATAATGTTGCCAGCAGAGAGATGGGTGAATTTGAGATGCTTAGTCCTGTTTGATTTGAGGAGCAAAAAACCTGTCCGTTTGGAGTTGACTGGGCTGAGAGTTGGAACTTGATACCTTTTGGATTTTTGAAAACTTTAGTTTCATATTTATTTATTGGTTTTTTGAGATAGGGTCTCATGTAGTTCAGGCTGGACTTAAATTCACTGTGAAACATAGGTTGGCCTTGAAATTGTGGCAATCCTCCTGCCTCAGCCTCCCAAGAGCTGAGATTATAGATGTGCTCCTGGCTGGCCTTTTGGATTTCGTGTAGCAAATATTTATTATCTAGGTACTTGAGATAGAACAATGAGCAGAATAAATACTCCTTCCTTCACAGACCTCACATTTTAGTTGGCAAGACTAATTGTATAAATAATAAATATAATGTAACTCTAAAAAAGAGGGTCAAGGATGGAACTCAGTGCAGAGGCTTTAGTTTTGTTTGTCAGTTTGTTTCTATTAACCAGTCTTATTGGTAAATGCTAAAGCAAAGGCTGGCCATGGTGATGCACACTTGTAATTCCAGGACTCTGAAGGCTGAGGAGGAGGATTGCTCCAAGTTTGAGCCCAGCCTGGGCTACATAGTGAGACCCTGTCTCAAAAAACCAAACCAAAGTTAAAGTAGAAAAGGATTATGTGATATGACTATAGGGTTAAAATTTAAAGTGGCTACAAAGGCAACAATATTTTAATTAAAGACCTGGTGGGAGAAAGACAGTAGCAAACCATGTGGATAATACGGGGAAAGAACATTCCAGGGTACCGCACAGAGTGTAGGGATATTAATGAGGTTGATTTATTTGAGCAATGACAAATGGGGTAAGCAGGAACAAAGTGTCAGGTTAGAGATTTAGACCTTTCGGGACCTTATGTTACAGACTATGTTACAGTTTGAATTTTTTCTAAGAGCGGTAGAAAATATTGGAGGGTCCAGGCAGAGTTGTGATTAGACCTGACTTCTGCATTAACAGGATCACCTTAGTTGCTATGGTGAAAATAATATGTTGGAGTAGAGATGGTGGAGTGGGATTGCAATGACAGGATAGAGGAGGCCAGTTGATGCTAATGCTGTAAGTTAGGTCAAAACTGGTAATGCTTTGAACTGAATAGTGACAGTGGAAATGGTGAGGAGTTGGACATAAGTGGCTCACTGTAAGTCAGGAGAATCAGTTGGCAGATCATACTTTAAGATGTACGTCCTCAGGATTATTGTGAAACCAGTGGAGGAAGAGATTTTTGGGAGTGAGTAGTGTCTGGATCATGGTTGCATTGGAGACAGTGTTGGGATTGGAAACTGGCTTAACATCAGACCTGGGACCGTTGAAACAGGAGTGAGATATATTGGTCTGTGTAGAAATCAAGGTTGGAATCTGAGTCTGGGCAGTACTATGAGATTAGGAACAATTTCAGGGTGAGGATTAGTTTATATCATATTCTTTTGGACCAGGGTTGGTAGTAACCACCGTCTTCTGTATCATTGAGCTCCCTTTGAGGGGTAATGAGGCTGGGTCCTCAGTACTCTTGGGTGTTTTGGGATTTAGGCTCTAGAGTCAGGGAAAGGTAGAGAAGGGTCCCTGGTATTTGACACAGCTCTTTTTCCCCTAGATGGCCCACTGCAAGACTTTGGTTCAGCTCTCCATTTCCTGTGACCACCTCATTGACAAAGACATCAGCTCCAAGTCTGACCCACTCTGTGTCCTTTTACAGGATGTAGGAGGGGGTAGCTGGGTTGAGGTGAGGTGGACTTTGGAAATTATGGAGGGGGGACTAGGATTATATTCTGGGATAGTGTGTGATCGTGATGCTTATTGACCTCTTCCCACAGTTTGGCCGGACCGAGCAAGTACGGAACTGCTCAAGCCCTGAGTTCTCCAAGACTTTGCAACTTGAATACCACTTTGAGACAGTCCAGAAGTTACGATTTGGAATCTATGACATAGACAACAAGACACCAGAGCTGGCAGATGATGATTTCCTAGGGGGAGCTGAGTGTTCTCTAGGACAGGTATTGTAGGGCCAGGGATTATTAGAATCTTTCAGACACAAGTTCTGTGAGTGTCCTTTCGGAAAACCCAACATGCCTAGACTGCAGGTGGCGAGGTAAATAGGATCTAATCCTGCCTGAGATAATAAAATCTTCTTCGTCTGCGTTGCCCCAGGTTGTGTCCAGTCAGATACTGACTCTACCCTTAATGCTGAAGCCTGGAAAACCTGCTGGGCGGGGGACCATCACGGTAAGGGAAAAAGCAGCAAGAGTTCTAGAAGGGGCTTCTATTGATAGAAGAATTCACAGTGTGATACATTCTTCCTTGCATAGGTCTCCGCTCTGGAGTTGAAGGACAGTTGTGTAGTAACCATGGAAGTGGAGGCCAGAAACCTAGATAAGAAGGTATGTCTGCAAGAAGGCCCTGGGGATCCAAGAATTGAGACTAGGATGGTTTGTTACGGTATATGGGGAGTAGGGGTGGAAATAGAGGGCTGACATATTGGTGGTTTCTGTCTAAATCTTTTTTTTTTTTAATTTTTTATTATTTTGAAGGTAGTAAAATACAACAGAACAAGATAGAACAAAGCCAATTTAGACAGTGTAGTGAAATTGGTACAGAATTTTGCAGCAGGTTACCAGGATAACAGTAATAGGTACCACAGTATATCTCATTATCTTCACAATAGTTGTTCTTTCTATCAGGTATAGCAAAATAAAATGAAATACAGAACATTATAGAACTTATCAAAACAGGATATTGAATAAAGTATTGCCATTAATCGGAATAAAGCAAAACAGTGGTAAAAATGTTTGCCTTTGGAGAGATGGTAGAAGGAAACCCCCTTTATTTGCTATATTGCATACAGTCAACCTCCTAAGAGATGCTCAGACCTCTGGCTCTCATTTGCTAATGGGGGACAGGGGGATATTTGATTCTCAGCCTGTGCGCCAATAGGCTCACCACTGCTTAGCAGGGAGGTGAGCTGGTTGCTTGGTTTCCCAGTGCCCTAAGTTCCAACATGGCATGGATCTCAGGAGTCTGGTCTTCCCCCTGGGGGGCCCGCAGCCTCCCCATGAGGGGCCCACAGCCTACCACACCACAGCCGCTTAGCAAGGAGGTGAGCTGGTTGCTTCTGTCTGAATCTTATAATGGGTATCTGTGGGACTTTGCAGGACTTCCTGGGAAAATCAGATCCATTTCTGGAATTCTTCCGCCAGGGTGATGGAAAATGGCATCTGGTATACAGATCTGAGGTATGACACTCTTAATATTGGGTGGGGTGGGGTAGCAGAGAATCTCTTGGATTTGTGACTAGCAAGGTTTGAAACACATAAAAGAGATTACAAGTGGCTATGGAGGTATGACAGTGCCTCATGTACCAGGTCAGAGTTCTGTGAGAGGTCTTGCTTTCTACCTTCAGGTAATCAAGAACAACTTGAACCCTACATGGAAGCGCTTCTCAGTTCCCCTTCAGCAGTTGTGTGGTGGGGATTACAGCACACCAATTCAGGTGAGGAGCTTGCCTCCAGAGTGAGCTGAGCAAGGGAAGAGAGGCTGGGGAGGCATTGCTCACTTGTTACCCACCTCCTTTATATATACACATATACTTTCTTCTCAGGTGCGCTGCTCAGACTATGATAATGATGGGTCACATGATCTTATTGGTATCTTCTACACCAGCTTGACCCAGCTGCAGGCAGTCCCGGTGAGCTTTGGTCCTATTCTGGGGTGTTAAGTTGGGCCTGGATGGCTATATATCCCAGGGTAAGAGGATAAAAGGACAGCTTGAGTCCTTGGCTCATGCTGTGGAAGTTACCTACCCTAATTTTTTTCTCTTCACCAGGCCGAGTTTGAATGCATCCACCCAGAGAAGCACCAGAAAAAGAAAAGCTACAAGAACTCTGGGACTGTCTGTGTCAAGGTTTGCCAGGTGAGACAATAGCCCATGTGACCCAGGCTCTGATTTCTGAGTTCTAGTGGTGGCAGCCCCCTTTCACTCCAGGCATGACCCTGGTTTCATCTGCAGGTGGAAACAGAATACTCTTTCCTGGACTATGTGATGGGTGGTTGCCAAATCAACTTCACTGTAAGTAGTCTTACTAAGGGCAAGAGAATACGTCTGAGGCTCAAGGTGGCCTTCAGCTCCATTCTTGGCCTCCTCCCAGGTTGGCGTGGACTTCACTGGCTCCAATGGAGACCCCTCCTCTCCTGATTCGCTGCATTATCTGAGTCCTACAGGAGTCAATGAGTATCTGACAGCACTGTGGAGTGTGGGCAGTGTGATTCAGGACTATGACTCGTAAGTAACTGCTTCTCCTGGCTGTCCCTCACCCTTCTATTACTGTTATGAGCCTCTGAGCTTAATCCCCTTATCAACACTTCCTCAGCTCAGTATTCTCCCACAGGGACAAGCTATTTCCAGCATTTGGGTTTGGGGCTCAGGTGCCTCCTGACTGGCAGGTGAGTCCTCTGTCTTTCTCCATTCTCCTAGTTTTCAGTTTTAATGTCTTAATCTTGGGGGATGTGGTGAACTAACTTAGTGCCTGTTAACTTTAAGGGGAGGTGCAGTGATGTATCCCTAAAGGGATACATACAGCAGGATTCAGGCTGAACACCTCCAGGAACCTTGTTACCTACCATAATGACCTTGTTCTTGTCTTTTCCTTCCTGTCCTCTTGAACTTCAAAGTCTTGTTCATGATAAGCAATTGCTGTACCACTGACCAATACCCCCAACCCACATAGTCACAACCCCCAACTCACATTTTTGTCCTTTTTCTTGCACAAAGATTAGGGGAAATAACTTCATTTTCATTCTTTTTTTTTTTTTTTCCACATTTCAAAAGTAATATTTAATTATGTATATGACCTTGGGAGAAAGTGATGTTGTCACTTTTCTCAATAGTTTTTTTCTTTCTTTCTTTTTTTGTCTTTTTCGTTTTTATCGGTACCAGGGATCGAACTCACAACTGCCTGCTTGCAAGGCAGGCGCTTATGCTACTGAGCTAAATCCCCAGCCCCAGTTTTTTTCATTTTTAATATTTGCTTTATAAAGCGCTACCCAAGGAGCTATGTAGATGAGTGCCTTTCCAAGTGGTTATATCCATCCTGAAAGAGCATATGAATGTTTATTGCAACAAACTGATTTTCAGGTCTGACGAAGGAAAATATTTCATTATGACTTCATTTTGTAAATCTTAGTATATGAGAAGTAAATGTATTTTATACAGAAAACTAAAATTAGGGCTAAATTTTTAAGGCAATCCATCTTCACTCTGTTAAGAACCAAACATATCAAAGTTTTTCTAAAATAAATGGATACATCAGGTGCATATTCTTTTAAGACAGTTTATCATAAATCAGTTTCATAGGCTATGAAGAAGTAAAAGGATTATGTACAACTTCACAGGAAACAGGTAGGGAGCAGAGAAGAGTCCAGGTGGGGCTAGAGCCTAGGTGAGTACATCCCCAGGGCAGGGGCCCCTAATAAGGGAAACTAAACTAAATAGTCTACAACAACATAAAAATTGCTTCTGTGGAGCTACTTTTGTGACTCTGGCCAAGGTCTAAGAAGGCCTTATGTACCTGGGGGAAGAGGCAAGCCCCTAGAAGTCCCTCACCCAGGAGGGATCGTCATTGGGGAACCTATGGGCAGCTGCATGCCAGGAAGAGGGCCTATCATGCCTGGAGGGATGCCAGGCCCATAGATGGGGGAGGACCTCCACAGCCAGGTCAGTTCTGGGGCCAGGCCCCTGTAATGCTAGCTGTGGTAGCAGCTGCAACAGTGCCTCTTCCTTGTGGGATTATCATCTGTTGGGATGGCCCACCAACTTCAAGGACTGACCCAGCAAGTCCTACCCACAGCTCTACCAATTTCTGGGACCCCAGGAGCTCCAGCATGCAGTACCTTTGGGAGGAGGTCCTTCCACTGTCATGGAAACCAGGTTCTCCCCTGACAGCAGCACCACACCAAGGACTCATGTCTCTTCCCTTTCGGCTTGTGTATAGTTCTTTGGCTTGATCTTTGGCTTGATGAGTTAGGATCAAATTCATTTACTTGTCAAAAGCCTTGAAGGTACCAGTGAAGATCTGGCCATCTTGCAGGATGCACTTTGTCCTGTGGTCATTGTGCTGCAGCATCTTGGTGCTCTTGCCCACTGTCATGGAGGTGATTCTGATGGTTTGGATTCACACTGGATTTGCCTCCTTAGAAGTCTAGCCACAGCCAGCATTCTGTTTCCTGTGGCTGCTACCAGAAATTCAGCCATGCGTAAAATTCTCATTTCATTTTTGTCCTCAGGTATCGCATGAATTTGCCTTGAACTTCAATCCTAATAATCCCTATTGTCCAGGTAAGTTCCCCATCCTTCAGTGTGAAGGAGATTGATTTGTCCATACTTGAGGGTAAGCCTGTACAGGGAAATAAGAGGAGAAGGGAGGAGATACCTGCCTCGGTTGTCTAGAAGAGTGCATTTTAGAGCTGCTACTGGTGCTGCTGCTGCTGCTTCTGCTTCCGCTTCCTCTTCTCTTCTCTTTTCTTTTCTTTTTTTTTTTTTTTTTTGTATTTTTTGAGATGGGGTCTCGATATGCAGTTCAGGCTGGCCTTGAGCTCACTTTGTAGCCCAGGCTGGTCTCAAATTCACCTACCGAGTGCTGGGATTACAGGCGTGAGCCACCATGCCCTGCTCCTCTTCTCTTTTCCTTAAACATTTGGAGTAGATGATGATTACATTTATGTTAGAGAGTAGGTACATGTACTGAACATATTTGGAGTTTTATGTCCTTCCCTATCTAGATCGCCTTTTCATTATAATTTTTGTAGTTTACTATATATAAAGATTACATTCATTAAGGGTAATTGGTTACATATATATATGACACATTTTAAATCTTTTTACATCCCATTCCCATTTCCCCCATCCCCAAACCTCAGGCTCTTGATCCCCTTCACATTTGCAAAAGATCTATCACCCTGATTCCTTTCATCAGTATTTTATTTTGCTTTTTACTTGTACTTGGGAACCTGTATGAGGGGAACCATACAGTATTGAAGCTTGTGTCACTCGATTTACTTCACTTAACATGTTTTCAAAGTGTCCACTGTCTTACAAATGTCTCGATTATTATCCTTTATAGCAGAATAACATTCCATTATATGTGTTCTTTTGTTTGTTTGGTTTTTGTTTTGTTTTGAGACAGGTTCAGTGTAGTTCAGACTGGCCTTGAACTCACAATAATCTGTTTAGTCTCTTTGAGTGCTAGGATTACAGACGTACACCACCATACCTGACTTCTATAATATGTAGATAGAACATTTTCTTCATCCACTTGTCTGTTAATAGACATAAAGCCTGCTTCTAAGACTTGGCTATTATGAATTGTGCTGCTATAAACACATGCATGAATCTCTGTAATATGATATTTTTAGGTTCTTTGGGGAAGATATCTAGAAAAGGGACCCGCTAAGTCAAATGGAATTTCTTAGTTTTAATTTTTTGAGAAATCTGTACTACAGTTACATTTCTACCAACAGTATAGAAGGATTCCTTCTTTACTGTAGCCATGCCAGTGTTTATTATTTGATTTCTTAATGATTGCTATTCTTTCTGGTATAGGATGAAATCATAGTATTGTTTTAATTTATGTATTTCTCTAATTGCCAAAGAAGCATTTTTTCATGTACTTTCTGGGCCATTTGTGCTTATTTTTCTAAGAAGTGTCTATTTCATTCGCCCTTATTTTGAGTCTTTTATTTTGGGGGGTGTCTAATTTTTTTGAGTTCATTATATATTCTAGATATTAGTCCTTTGAGGAAGAGCTGGCAAAAATTTTGTTCTCATTCTGTTGGTTGTTTCTTCATCTTGTTGGTTGTTTCCTTTGCTGTCCAGAAGCTTTTTAATTTAATGGAATCACATTTTTTTATTCTTACTATTCTTTCTTGTACAGTTCTGTTTAAAAAGTCCTTGCCTGCCTCAGTTACTTCAAGAGTTTTACTTGTCTTCCAGTAAGTTAAGTTTCTATTTTAATATTTAGATATTTGATTCACTTTCATTTTAGTGTAGGGCATAAAAGTTATGAATCCAGCTTCAGTCTTTTTTTTTTTTTTATTTTTTTATTTTTTTTTTGTCTTTTTCCTTTTTATCGGTACCAGGGATTGAACTCACGACTGCCTGCTTGCAAGGCAGGCGCTTATGCTGCTGAGCTAAATCCCCAGCCCCCAATCCAGCTTCAGTCTTATGCATTTGTAAAGCCAGTTTTCCCAGCACTGTTCATTAGCTTAAAGAGGTTATCTTCTCTACAGTGTGTTTTTGGCCCTTTTTGTCAAAGATCAGTTAGCTGAATGTGGCTGGGATTATTTCTGAGTCCTCTGTTCTGTTTCACTGATCCATATGACTGTTTTATTACTGTATCTTTATAGTACTTGAAATCAGGTATTGTGATGGCTTCCACTTTGCTTTTGTTGCTTAAGATTGCTTTTACTATTTTGAATCTGTTCTGATTTCATATGAATTTCAAGGTTGCTTTCCCCAGTTCTGTGAGGAATGCTTTAGGTATTTTGATTGGGATTATATTAAAATAAAAATAAATAAATAATACCATCAAATTTATATATATTTGAAGAATGGCCACTTTCACAGGTTTTTTTTTTTTTTTTTGTCTTTTTCCTTTTTATCGGTACCGGGAATCGAACTCGCGACTGCCTGCTTTCAAGGCAGGCGCTTATGCCGCTGAGCTAAATCCCCAGCCCCACACTTTCACAGTTTTAGTTTGATATTTTTGTGTATTTGCATTTTTGTTTGTTTTTTGAGACAAGGGTCTCACTGTATAGCTCAGACTGGTCTTGGGCTCCCAATGATCCTGCTGCTTCAGTCTCCCAAATGCTGGGATTACAGGTATGCCACTCCTCTTTCCTTTTACTTTCCCTTCCCTCCCTTCCTCTCCCCTTCCCTTTTTTTTTTTAAGTGCTACCACTGACCCAGCTGTCAGCTTTCCTGTGGTGGGGAGAATGGGAAGAGACAAAAGCTGACATCAGGTGGAGCCCTCTCTTTTGACAGGAGAAAAGGAACTACTCAACCACTGTAGCAGGTTTATTTATGCACTCAGGAAGAGAATGTCAGTTTCAAGCCCCCTGCCTAGCAACTTGTTTGCCTGGTTGGCTTGCATCCTTGCCTTCTTGGAGCTGGAACAGCTTGTTTATGTGGCTTGCTTTGGGCTCTGTGTGTTTGCAGGGCTGGCCTTGCTTTGGTCTCACTGCATGATCCATCTCCAGATTCAGCCACTCCTGATATTTGAGAAAAGTTTTCACAACACAGTTCAGGCTGGCTTTGTAGCCCAGGTAGGCCTTGAACTCGCAGCCATTTTTCTGCCTCAGCCTCCCAACTGCTGGATTATAAGCATGTGTTACCATGTCTAGCTCTTTCCATCTTTGATGTTGTCTTCAGTCTCTTTTTTCAGAGAACTGCAGTTTTCTTTATAGAGGTTTTTTACTTTCTTAGGTTACTTCTACATATTTTTCTTGATGCTATTGTGAATGGTATTTTTTTTCCTAATTCCTTTTTTGATGAGTTCATTATTAGTGTACAGAAACACTTGGTATTTTTGTGTTGATTTTGGGACCTGCTACATTGCTGCATTTATTAATTCTAGGAGACTTTTGATGGGATTTTGTGGGTCTTTTTTGTAGAGCATCATGTCATCCAAAAGTAATGATAAATTGGTTTGTTCCTTTCCCATATATAAATCTCCCCCCGCCCGGTTTTTTTCTTTTCTTTTTGTGTCAGGGTCTTGCTATGTAGTTCAGACTGGCCTTAAATTCAGCAATACTCCTGCTTCAGTGTCCCAGATGCTGGAGTCACAGGTGTATGCGACACAGCCATCTCCTTTTATAGTGGATCCTTTATTTATGAATTCGGTTTGTTTATGAGGGCTGTTATAACTCAAGCTGGTTGTAAGACTACTTTTTCCATAAGAAATAATGAAAATACCCATAATACATATCAAACCTCCCAAAGCACCCATGACTAATCTTTTCATAATAAAAAAGGGTCATATAATGTGTATAATTTACCAGAAACACCAATAATTTTCCTAGTGTATTCACCAAAAAGTTATAAAATGTGCCTAGTTTGCCAGAAACAACAATTTTACTCTGTACTCACCTTCAGGTTGACACCTTTGGCTTGCAGGAAAGGAGGGTAAGGCAGAAGGTGGATTATTGTTTGGAAGGAGAGTCCTCTTGCATAAAACATTAGCAATCTAGTTCTCGGGCATCCTTTCTCGTTGGGAGTGTTTGTAGCCCACTTGCAACTGCTTCTGGCTCACTAGGTCTTAACTTTTTCAGGACTAAAAACTGGCCTAAGGTTGTCTGTTTCTGTCTTTAACACTGTTCTGGGTTTTTGTTTGTTTGGTTGGTTTTTTTTCTGTTGTTTTTTTGAGACGGTCTCTCCATGCAGTTCAGGCTGGCCTTGAGCTCACTTTGTACCCCAGGCTGGTCTCAAACTTGCAACGATCCTCGTGCCTCAGCCTCCTGAGTGCTGGGATTATAGGCATGAACCACCACGCCTGGCTTTTAACACCCTTCTATAGTGTGACGTGACCTTGTCACTAAGCAAGTGAATGTAAAGTGAAAGGTTTTTTCCTGTGTCTGAGTGGGTCTTTTCTACAAATGTTTATTATAGCATTGTTCATTTTTCCAGGATTTCCTTTATTTCAGAAAAAGAATTTTGCTGATTGTTGATCTTCAGAAAGCTCCTCAGCTGTTCTTCTCTGTTGTTCAGCCAGAAGTTGCCGAAGTTCCTCTGTTGATAGTTCCTCTGAGTGTTCCTTCTTCCACCAGTTCCTCAGTGTCACTGTCTACCTGCAAGCTATGGAGTCTGCTATAGTGACAGTGTCATCAACCACAAGGTCAATCAAAGGCTCAGGCTCCTCTAGATATCCTTCAGAGTTTCTCTTCTGTATAATTTTAGGCCATGTATTCTATTTAGATCTCAGTGTCCTTACAGAGACATTGGCCCAAGATTTTTCAGTTAACTTCCTAAAGGAAAGGATGTTGTAATGTTACTTCCAGAACTCTTTAATCTGGGACTATTGTGGAAGCACTTCAGGAAGTTGGTGTATAGCCTTTCTTTTCCTGCCTTTTTGAGAAAGGGTTTCACTGTGCAGTTCAGGCTATAGTCCATGCTGGCCTCAAACTTACAGTGATCCTCCTGCTTCGGGCTCCTAACTGCTGGGATTATAGACATGTGTCACCACACTTAGCTGGCCTGATGTATTGCTGCTTAGTTAGCTATAACCTGCTAGTCCATAGACTACCTACTTTGAAGCCCCGGCTGGTCTTGAACTCATAGCAATC